TCCACGGCCCCAGCCGGGCTCGGCTCCCCGCAGCCCCAGGCATGGCGACAGACGGGCACGCTGCTAAAGCTCTTTATTTCAAAGCCCAGCCTGTAGCACAAGCCTCCAGCCCCACACGACCCGACCCGACCCGGGTGTAGGGACAGATGCTTTGTTCACAACTGCCTCACACCGTGCATTTGCACAAACCCGCACCTGCAGGTGCCAGCGTGCGGGGGTGCTCTGGGAGCGCTGCCCAGCTCCCCCAAGTCCCACTGCCAGAGGGAGGCAAGACTCTCCCTTCCACCCTGGCACTGGCCTGCAAGAAGCCAGCATCCTCCAGCTCCATGGCATGTGGCTGGGCACCCAGCTCAAGGCACAAGACATGTCCACGCTGGCACTTCGTTCCCTACAGCTTGTCATTGGGAAGGGGCAGCACACCCCTCCATGTGCAGGACAAGGCTGCATGCTGCTCGGAGCAGGGGCCAGGGCTCCCGATTCCCCCTGTGACTGCCACCTGCCGCCCCTGCTCCCAGGGGGGGCAGCCCAGGGAGCACAGGGCCAAGCCTTCTGTGCAGCGCCCTGACCTGGGGCAGTGCAGCAGGTCCAGGGGAAGTGGCACCATTCATCGTGCTGAAGGTCCAGCCAGCTCCAGTGGGGGGCGAAGGGGGCAGCACTCAGGCCAGCAGCAGAATTTGGGCATGGCTGAGGGGAGCCAGGGTCACCTCTTTTGCCCTAGAGGAGTCAGCCCCCACGGGCTGGGGGCTGCTCATCACCCCGTCCGATAGTAGCGCCGCAGGCTCAGGTGTAGTGGCCTGGTCACTTCCTGGGGCTGAGGGTGCCCAGCGGGGACCCCTGCACATAGGCCAGAATGGCGTTCTGAAGGAAGCTGGCGCGCTGTGCCTCCTCCTCCCTCATCCGGGAGATCTCTGCTTCCTTGGTCCGCAGCCTCTCCAGCAGAGCGGCCATCTCCCCCTCCTTGTCCAGCAGGGCCTCGCGGTGGTTGCTGGACAGCACTGTGCAGGGAGAAGGACCCATCAGCTCGGGGAGGGGGCTGCCTGCTGCAGGGCGGTGGAGGCAGAGCACAGCACGCACCCTGCAGGACAGGCTGCCAGCAGACCCAGGCTGCTGCTGGAAGGAGTCTGAGCCCTGCAGGCCAGGACCAGGGCCAGAATGGCTGACACGAGGCTGATCTGAGCCTCAGCCTCTGGAGCAGGGTCCCAGGCACCTCTGGGAGCTCCAGTGGGGTCCAGGTCCCTGAGGTTTGCAGAGCAGGAGGAAGCAAGCAAGGACAGGGGAAGCCATCAGCCCTGGGAGAGGGTACACTCATCACACTGCCCTATCACCTTTCATCTGCCGCTCTAGGGCTGCAATCTTCTCCCGCAGCCCTTCCTGAGCTGTCTGCTCGGCCTGCAGGCGCCCAACCTGCTCCTGCAGCTCCACGCGTACCCTGTTCACCTCTGCCACCTTCTCCTGCTCCTTGCTGCTCAGGTCCTGGTGCACGGGACAGACAGTGAGATGGCAGCACATGCTGGCCTCCGCTCTACACCCAGGCCAGCACCCCCCCCCAGTACCTGCTGCAGCTCCTCCACTCACCTCTGAAGACTCTCCACCTGCAGGCTCAGCTGGCTGGCCCTGGCCTGCGCCTCCCCGACTGCCTGCTTCTGCTGCAAGCAGCGGCCCTGGGCCTCCTCGCGTGACTGCATCATCAGCCGTAGCTTCTCCTCCAGGTGCTCCAGCCGCTGTTGCTGTGGAGCACCAGGTCAGAGAAGGAGATGAGCGAGTCTTCCTCGGGCCCCATGAGATGGCCCTCCCCTGCCTGCCCCAGGCTTCGCCAGGGACTGTGCTCTGGTAGAGGGGTAGTCTTTCACTGGAGATGTGAAAGCAGGGCCCTGGGGGCACGTGGGAACACCCATGGGTGAGGGAACTAACGCCTGCACCAGCATTTACACTCTGCCTCAGGGACTGCTTCTGTGGGACGCATTCTCCTTCCCTTCCTGGCCCGCAGGGCTGTACAGTAGTGCTGGGCATGAACAACCAGCACTGCACTCCCCCAGATGCAGCCATGCCTCACGGGATAAGCATGTGTGCCAGCATGGGCAAGCCTGTTAAGCTTTCCCATCATGGAAGGAAAGGTGCTAGAAGAAGCTTGGGCCATGAGCAAGTCTCCTCACAGCCTGTACTGGGAACTGGTCTTGCTGCCACCTCGTGAAGGCCCAAGCCTGACAGCAGGACATGCATGCTACATGCAGCAGCGCATGCAGGCTGGGACACGCCTGGCTGAAGAGCACCTGCAAGACCAACCGGAGCCACCTCTGCGCAGAACAGGCCAGAAGGTGCCAGGCCAGTGGGGACAGGGTCACGAGACAGCTTTGTGCAAATGCTCCAGGGCTTCCCCCTTCCCCTTTTCCCACTGCAAGCTCAACAGCCTGAGCTGGGCAGGGCTCCCGCCAGCTCCCTGAGGGCAAGGGGTCACAGCCTCACCTCTTCCAGCCTGGCCTGGCTCCGGGCTCTGATTAACTCCTCCTCTGCCTGGCCTCGTTCCACAAGCGCTGCAGCTTTGACCCGACTCAGCTCCTGTCTCAAGTGCAGAAGACGCATCGTTCCAGCCAGCAGGAGCCACAGCTCTGCCGCGCCGGGCAGCACTGGCCTGAGCAGTCTCAGCTACAGGTGCATGGGGCGAGTGATACTGGGGCAGGGAACAAAAGGCTTCGCCTACCTGGGTCACTGGCATCTATTTCACAGAGCAGTTCCAAGGTGTGTGTGGGGGGCGGGAAGGGGGCAGAGAGCAGGGGCTGCCAGGCTGGCCACTCTGCATCACCCTCCTTCCCCTCACCCATGAGGATAGGCTGGGCAATTGACCCCTTGCAGATCAGGGCCCTGCCACCTAGACACTCCCCAACAGCTCCAAGGCCAAAGAACCAGGGCTCAGAGGAGCTGGCAGGCTTGGAGCAGATCTCCAGCAGCTGTGCGCACACATCTTCCTGGGGTCAACCACACACCGCAGCCCTCTGCTGCACTCTCTGGACACACGGACCCAGCACAGATGTTTTCGTAATGTCCCTTTCCTTAGCCAGTGCGTGGGAACGTGCTGTGATGCCAACAGGAAGGTTGACCAAGGCTGCCACTACCCCTCCCCTCCGCCCCTGCCTCCAGCTTCCCCCAGGGACAGTGCTGGGAAGCTGCTGGGGCCCCTTGCGACTATACTGGCCATGGCGCTGCCACTGCTTCCCAAGACCTGTGCCCAGAGTGCCGGCTCACCTCTTCCAGCCCAATGCGGACAGCCTCCAGCCGCTGCATGCGCTCCTGCATGGAGCGCTCGCTCGCCTCCATGTGCTGCGTCATGTGGTCCACCTGTAAAGCAGGGGCCGCCCCAGGCCTCCAGTGAGACCCGGCAGCCTTGCTCGCACATGCACAGGGAGCGGCACGTGCCTCCCCACCAACTACTGACAGGAGCAAACAGGCCCCTTCATTCCCCAAGACAGGGCACCACAGCATGGCTAAGAGCCAACTACCTATGCACACATGAGATGAGGCAGGGGGCACATGCTGTTGGGGAGCTCAGCCTGCCCCTATGGGGAGTGAGTCTCAGTGAAATCTGGCACAAGCAAGGGCCTGTTGCACAGCTGGGATGGGGCAAGCTTCCCCAACATGGCCAGCACTACCATCTCACCTCCTTCTGCCGAAGGGACTCCACATCATCAAGGCCCTGCTTGAACCTCCTCTTCTCCATGTCCAGGCGTTCTGCGGGTTCAAGGTGCCCATCACCAACCACAGTACGGGCTCCCTAGTTGCCCCCCGACCCAAGCCTGCATATCTCCTCACAAGCCCTGGAGCACTGGTCCTAGACTCTGAGGCCCCTGGGCCAGGCTACCTGGCCCCGTACTCACCCTCGGCCTGCACAGCCCGCAGCCTCAGATCTGCTACTGTAGTGGTCAAGTCCTGCTTCAGCTGGAAGAGCTGGTCCTGCTGGGCCTTGCCCCGCCGCTCCAGCTCATCCACCTGCAAGGAGGACACCCACAAGAGCACCTGAACATGGCCATGCACGGCTAGTAGCTGGAGATGCGGGAGGGGGTCTGGAGCCCAAGCTGGAGCCCCGGGGACAACCCCGCTGCCGACACTGGCCCAGGCACACTCGCCTACCTGGTTCCTCAGAAGCAGGTTCTTCTCATTAGCAGCAGACAGGTCCCGGAGAAGCTTCATTTCCCGATCAGCGGCTTCCTACCAGTGCAAGATGTGCCAGTCCCTGCTTCCTGATGCCCAGGATGCCCAGTCCAAATCCTGTACCCTCCTCTGGTCACATCAGATCCCACAGCCCCCACAGGCCTGCTCTGGCCACTGCTGCCCTCATGCTCTGCCCACACCTCTGTCCTGCAAAGCCCAGGCATGGCCCACCTGTCCAGACACCCAGCCCCTCCTGCCCACCTGCTTCTGCTGCTGGAGATCCTTTGCCTGGCGCTCGGCCATGGTGGCCTGTTCCTGCTTGGCGGTGCTCAGCAGCTCCCCCAGGTCATGCACCTTCTGCTCGGACAGTGCCAGGGCAGCTTCTGCCATCTGCAACCTGCACAGTGGAGAGCAAGGCTGAGGTCTGACCTCAACCCATCTTCCAGATACAGTCAGAGCTCAACATGAGCCAGGATAACACAACAGCAACACAGGAACAGCCCAGGCAGGGCTGTCCAGAGCCTCCCCAGGTCAGCCTTATCTCATGATACTCCCAGGACAATCGTGAACACCCTTATGCTGTGGGGCTCAACACTTGCGCAAGACCCCTGTGCGCTGGCATCCAGGCTGAGGCCTCAGCGAATGGAAGAGCATCCCCACAGATCCACCCTCTTGCTGACGAACTTCCATTAGACCAGCGGTGAGACCAACCAATAAGCCACTCCCACGGTGAAGCCGGAGGGTGTGCACAGGGCCGGCACTCCTGCAGCTGACACCCCCAGCCGCACCCAAGAATTTTTACCCCGCCTCTGACAGAGGAGATGGCACTGTGACACGGTTTCCACAGCAGTCTCTAGCCCGTGCTAGGTCTCACACAAAGTTTCTAGAAAGCCTGAGGGAGCTGCTGAGCTGCTTGCCCCCTCCACCATGCAGCCATGCTCCTCTAGAAACCCAAGGGGTCACACGCGGTCTCCCGCTCCTGGCAGTCCTGCCTGAACTGCCAACAGCTCCGCCAATGGAAAGGCTGCACAGACGCTCTCCTCATACTTGGCCTTCAGTGAATTTACGATGGAGTGCCGCTCTGCCAGGGCCTCCTGGAGCTGCCCAACCCGCGCTGACGACTGCCTGAGTTGGGGTGAGAGGAGAGAGCTGGTGTTTGGGAGGCAGCCAGGCATCCCAGCTGCCACTGTGAGGGCTGGTCCGGCCCCTAGGGAAGAGAGAAATCAGGGGCTCACTGACCTGCTGCTCCTGGTTATTTCTTCCCTCTGTCTGTCTATGGTGTCCATCAAATTCAGAAACTGTAACCGGAGACATGCACTGCTGACACTGAGGCAAGCGTGGGCTCAGGGCACTTAAACCTGCCTCTTTTCCCTACCCCAGGGGCAGGGAGGGGTCCCAGATGGCCTCTCACAAGAAGTCAAGCTGGGATCCAGATAGGCAAGGGCCGCACCACCAGCTCCAGCCAGGGCACCCAGCCACAGCAGTGCCTCAGGTGCTCAGGAGTGCAGTTGGGGAGAGGGAGTGAAAGTTGGGTTAACTGCTTCATGACCTCCCAGTGGGAGGGAGACCCAGAGGGATGCAGACAGCCCCCGGGAGGAGCTAGGGCCAAGGTGTCTAACTGCACTGTCGCAGACCTGCCCCAGGGGTGCTGATCCCTCCCCCCATGCTGTGTGCTTGCTGCAAAGGTGAATGCAGCACACCCACATAACCAGAGCTCAGGCCTCACGTGACAGTTCATGTCACCAGACAACTGCATGGAGATGCTGGTAGGACATCTGGGCTCCCTAGTGCCCCAGCCCAAGTACAGGAAGATGTTTACCTGCTTGGCCTTCTCCTCCTTCAGGCTCAGGACCTCCTTGCTGAGCACGTGGGTCCGGCTCTGGTTCTCAGCGAGGATGCTCTGGCGGTCCTGGTTGTGGTCCATGGCTTGCTCTGAGGCAGACAGGGCAGGAGTGAGCGTGAACGTTTCCGTGCCAAAAGAGCAGCCAGAGCATCTGCAGGGGGGCAATGACTAGGGCACGAAGTGGTTGCAGGGACCCTTGTGTGGCTGAGGGCGAAACCCCACAGCACCCAAGTTTGGGAAACATCCTCCCTCATTGCCAGGGTGCTGCTTGTGGGGAGTAGGGCAGACTATGCACAGAGCCCAGCAGCTATCCCACCCTGCTGCAAGCCCAGTGCTGCTTACCCACAGCCTTCAGGATGTCGCTGGGGACGTTGTTTCCTGCCAGCTCGAGGCGCCGCAGGGTCCTGTTGCTGTGCAGGCAGTTCAGCAGCGCTCGGCCCCCCAGGAGCCCCACGTTGTTCCAGCGCAGATCTAGGGTGGAGCACAGCAAAGCATCACTGCAGTCACTGCTGGCCCCAGGCACCTACAGCTGGACCCAGGCACCGTGCTGTGCCACTCCAGCCTGCAGGGCCAGACTCACCCGGGGCCTGCAGCCCAAAACCCCAGCCCATGGCATACCCCAGCAGGGAGAGAAGCAGAGGCAGAGCCTACAGGAAGCCCTTCTCTCTCCCAAGAGTCAGCCAAACACACCCAGAGCGCTCAGCCAGGCCAAGGTGTGTGCTGCACCCCATGCAGCAGGGACGAGAATGGCTCTTACCCAGCTCCTGCAGGCTGGAGTTGCCCTTCAGCGCAGCAGCCAGCTCCCCTGCTCCCTCGTGGTTGATCTGGTTGTTGCGCAAGTCCAGGCGCTGCAGGGAGCGGTTGGCGCTCAGCCCCTGGCAGAAGAGTGAGAAGCCTTCCTCCCACACACCCAGGCTGTTCCACTCCAGGACCAGGCTAAGGGGAAAGGACACACCAGGCTGGGCTCGGTCTGTGCCGCGAGGGGCAGCCCCCTTGGCCTCCTGCTGCCACAGGGAAGGGGCAGTCCAGCCCCGTGCAGGATCCAGCATCCACACTCACAGGCCCGGCCCAGCCCAGCTGAGAGAGCACACCCTGAAGAGGAGCAGCCCTGCCCACGCCCTCCCCAGCACACCCCCCATCTTTCCACTGGAGCATGGGGAGGGGGGACTATGCCTCTTACCTCTGGATGGATTTGTTCTGCTGGAGGAGTTTCCCCAAGGCCTCGGCACCCATGGCTTGCAGGTTGTTCCCCTGGAACAGGCGCCCCCAGTGAGTGGCCTGACAAGCCCACGTGCCCTCCCCCCACACGGACATCCCACGTGACACCAGGCTGGCTGGGGCTGGGGCCCCTGGGCAACGCTTGTCCCAGCCCTGGGCTCTGGCACGGATGCACCCACTGCTGCCCCACCTGCCCGGCCTCCCTGTGCCTGGAGCGCTGTCCACACGGGGCTGGAGCCCCCCCCGCCGAGCCACGGGCGAGACAGCCTTCCTCTGAACACCCCAAGCTGCTCACGCCACAAAGCGTGAGCCAACACGACCAAATCCACGATTTCTGCTAGGAAACGTGCTGAGCGCTAAGCTCCGCGCAGCCGGAGCCCCAGGGACAGACCCAGCACGGGCTCCCCGTGGGGAGCCGGGGCCGTCGGGGCTCTTCCTCCAAAGTCCCACCGGCTGCTCCTCCAGCCTCTGCCCACCACCCCGCGGTGCGGCAGCCAGGGCTCATGCTCACGGCGGCTCAAGCCAAGTCCAGCAGACTCACCTTCAAGTCCAAGGATTTTACGGTGGTGTTGGAGCAAAGTCCGTGCAGCAAAAGCTTGGCACCTGCGATAGAGAAGGTGTTGGTTCCCGCCGGCGCTGCGAGCCTCCCCGCGGCCGCCAG